GGTTCAACAATTCAACCGATCCCAATCGCACCGTTGTTTGGATGGCCAACCGAGACCAACCGGTAAACGGAATAGGCTCAAAGCTTGAGCTATTGGGGAACGGAAAGCTTATCTTGACCGACGCAGGCAGAAGAACAGAGTGGACTGTAGACATTGTTGCAGCTTCCCCTGTTCAGCTAAAGCTTCTCAATACTGGCAATCTTGTTCTTCAACGTACTGATAATGATGCCTTCCTCTGGCAAAGCTTTAATTCTCCCACAGATACCTTGCTCCCGGATCAAGTATTAACCAAAGACACTTACCTTATTTCATCAAGGAGTCGAAGCAACTACTTTTCTGGTAATTATAAGCTTTATTTTGATAATGATAATGTCCTGCGCCTTCTCTACCAAGTCCCCAACATAACCAGTGTCTATTGGCCAGCTCCATGGCGTCTTTCTTGGCAAAAGGGCAGTGACAGGTCTACATATAACAGCAGTCGAGTTGCTGTACTAAACTCCTCAGGTTATTTCAGGTCATCCGATGCTTTGTGGTTTTGGGCGGCAGATTCGGGTATGGGTCCGCTGAGACGTTTAACTCTTGATCCTGATGGCAGTCTGAGGCTATACAGTTTGCAGGATCGGAGATGGACTGTTACTTGGCAATCCCTTATTCAACCATGTAGAGTTCATGGCATCTGTGGACAAAACAGCTTGTGCAAATTTGATCATGTTTTGGGAAGTACATGTTCTTGCTTACCAGGATACAAGATTCAGAATCCTGCCGATTGGTCAGAAGGCTGTATAGCGGAGTTCACAGATTCTTACGATAGGCGTGAGTTTGGATTTCTCCGACTTACTCACGTTGAAATCTACGGCTACAACACAGGTAGATTCGACAACTGTACTTTACAGAGATGTAAAGAACTATGCTTGAATTCCAGCGACTGCAAAGCGTTCCAATTCACATTCCACAAGGAAGGGGGTACCTACTCTTGTTTCCCCAAGATATTGTTGCTTAATGGACACAGGACAATAAGTTTTGGGGGCAAATTGTACTTGAAATTACCAAAGTCCCGTTTATGTTCCGACAATTGCAGTGAACAATCGAGGTCAGGTTGTCCGAACGTGAATCAGACCCTAAACAGAACATATGGAAAGGGCAAAGAAAATGGATTCGTGAAGTTTCTGCTTTGGTTCTTTACTGTGGTAGGAATTGTGGAATTCATTTGCATCTTCTTGTTATGGTGTCTTTTGCTTAGAAGCAGTGAGGGCAACAAAGCAGCAACCGAAGGATACACCCATGGTGCAACTGGATTCAGAAGATATACTTATACTGAGCTAAAAAAGGCAACCAGGAATTTCACTGAAGTGGTAGGTAGAGGTGGTGCTGGAGTTGTATATAGAGGTGCATTACCGGACCAACGCGTAGCTGCAATCAAGCACCTCCATGAAGCCGAGCAAGGAGAAGCAGAGTTCCTTGCAGAAGTGAGTACCATCGGAAGGCTAAATCACATGAACTTGATAGAGATGTGGGGATATTGTGTAGAAGGGAAACACAGGCTGTTGGTTTACGAGTACTTGGAGCATGGATCTTTAGCTGATAATCTATCAAAAAAAGCATTAAATTGGGCAAGAAGGTTTGAAATTGCTGTCAGCACTGCAAAAGGTTTGGCTTATTTGCATGAAGAATGCTCGGAATGGATTCTACACTGCGATATTAAGCCGCAAAACATACTCCTGGACTCCAATTTCCAACCAAAAGTCGCAGATTTTGGTCTGTCCAAGCTGCTAAGCAGAGGTGGCATCAACACCTCAAGTTTCTCAAGTGTAAGAGGTACAAGAGGTTACATGGCTCCTGAGTGGGTTTACAACCTTCCAATCACCTCCAAAGTTGATGTTTACAGCTATGGAATTGTAGTTTTGGAGATGTTGACCGGAAAGAGCTCACCAGGGGCTCATGCAGAAGGGAGATCTACAGATTTGGAGCAGGGCCAGAAAAGGTTGGTTCCATGGATGAGGGAGAAGATAAATGGGGCCACTTCAACGGAGACATGGATTGAAGAGGTTGCAGATCCAATGTTGGGTAAAGATTATGACATGGATAAGATGAGACTTCTTATTGAAGTGGCCTTAAAAAGTGTGGAAGAAGACATGCATGCCAGACCCACAATGAGCCAAGTTGTAGAGATGCTATCACCCCATGATAATGAAGCTTCCCAGTTCTTCCAAGGACATTAATTTTTAGGACAAGTTGATCTTGTGCTTATATATTAGCTATTTTTGTTCGCTTTTAATGTTTCTACCTTTCTTGTACTCCTTTGTTTTATGTACAACACTTTTCAAAATATTTCTTTTAACCGTACCATATAGTTTTTAAGGATAGCGCAAACAGAAACAGCCATATTAAGAACATCAGGCATGGTAAAAATTGAAAAAAGAAGGTATTTTAGAATACCTCTTATTTTTTGTGTGTAATGAGTACAGGGGCTAGCAATGAAATTAGCCCTCTGTAATCAGTACAGACAAGAAGATCATCATACGTTTCCCAGCTACCAAGACTCGAACCTTTGCCGTTGGATAGTAAGAATAGACGATTGTTTTCCACCATCCAACCGCTAAGGTAAGAGAGCCCTGGTGAAATCTTTGCTGCACACATATTATCTTCTAATCTTCCGACCAAAAACTCGTATCGACACCTAGGATGACAAGAGATCCTTCTCAAATTCCAACCGCTAGAGTCCCGTAATCCGAATGCCTTGGCGATTTTGCCTCGCAAAGAAGGTGCTACAGAATTTGAGGAAAAAAAAAAAGGGAAAAAAAAGGAGAAAAGGTACTTTAGAGTACCTTGTTTTCGCTGTTGTTCCCATTTCTTGTTTTCCAGTTGTTGGAATTGATACCGAGGCTCGAACCTTCGCAGTTGAGGAACCAATTTGACTCTCCAGCCACCGAGGTTATACAGAGTTTTGGAGAGAGTTACCATCAAATCTATTGCATTTCTACAATATTTCCAAAATAAAGCCCCTCCTAAAACAAAATTTACAGTACGGTCTCCCAATCGAGGTTGTTTTGTCACAACATTTGGAAGTAACACGAGCCACTGAGAAATTAAAACATTAAAAGCCAAGATTTTTTGTAAACACCTAAAAAAAATACCTCTTTTAAAACAAACTAATCAAAGAGTTATTTATTGCATATATATTAAAAAGTCTTGAAAGCCTAAACAATAAAAAAAAAATGTCTCTTTATTTAGTTCAAGATTTGCTCTTTAAACCTTTAATTTGGAGTATATTTAAATTGTGTGTGTGCTTGCGTTTTTTTTTTTTTAAAACAGACCTAAAACATTCTTTTAGCCCAAAAGCAATAGAAAATGGAAAAAGAAAGCTCTTTAAACATCTAATTTGGAGTATATTTAAATTCGGGTGTGTGTGCTATTTAAAAACAGACCTAAAACATTCTTTTAGCCCAAAAGCAATTGAAAATGGAAAAAGAAAGGTATTTAGAAATACCGCATTTATACATGTCTTGTTTTGGGGATTAACATTTTGGATTTTTGCTACTACCAAGATTCGAACCTTTTCAATTGAAAAGAGATAAGTGCTTACATTTCCAACCACTATGCGAGTTTTGGCAACACAACCTTTTAATAATTACAATATGGGGGAAGGCTTTCCAATGTCATTTTCGTCCGCTCCAGTCAAGCCACTGAGAAAATTACGTTGTGCGTAATTTCTTTAGAAATCAGCTCTAAGCCTCAAATATATATTGTTGTCAATAGTTAATATTGATACTAGTTAAACTAGGTAAGACTTAACAATTTCGTCAATTTCGTGAGAAAATTTTAATAGAATACTTGATAAAGTTGTATACCTATAAAATTTTTAACAAGCCATCTCAATCATGGCTTGAGTAGCTAGTAAGTTATTCCAAGTAGAGCTACTATGTTAGCTTAGCTACTAAGATAATGTAAAGGACAAGATACAAAGGATACGAGCCCAAACCGTATTAGGTAGTTTATATATAAACCATTAGATTGTGTCACTTGCAAAAAGTTAGAAGACGTTGCCCACTTCCCTTTTGGTCTCATGCACGTATGTCCTTATTGTAAGGGATGTTACACTTGCCACTTGTACTATTTTGATAGATAAAGAACTTACAATACATAAAATTTGACAAATAGGTCTATTACATGAAAAATTTGAAAAAATACTATAAAAAGGCCTTCTCACTCTAAAAAGATAATTTCTTTGAAATACTTCTTCTTCCTTAACTCTCTTCCCCCCTTCCTTCACTCTCATCAAATCTTACCTGACTTAAGAATCACAGAGCGCACTTCAAAGATACCTTCAGCACTCACCCTAATAAGCTTTTCCTTTTTCCAGTACACAGGTAACATAGGTGCTCAAAAATCTCTTCTAGTTGTACCAGGCAACAAAATCAAGTATATCATATACATTCACAACATTGTATCTCATAATGTTTATGTGGTGTTCTGAACTAAAATGCTTCTTTTTGAAATTGATGATCGTTTTCATCCATGCTTCTTCATCATCACCGCCACTCGAACAAATGACCTCAGTAAGGTAACAGAAAAATTACGCTGCTCAGAAGTTACAATGAGCATTCTTTGTCTCAAAACATTGGAAAGAAAGGTTTATTACCCAGCTCACAGGAATGCCAGAGGCAAGGTAAAAATTAAAAAGAAGGTATTTTAGAATACCTCTTATTTTATGTGTAGGAGAACGGGGACTAACTTTGACATTAGCTCTGTAATCAACACAAACAGATGATCAGAATGTTCTATAGCTACCAAGACTCGAACCTTTGACAGTTGGTTAGAAAAGACCTAACTGGTTTCCTTCCAGCGTCCAAACCGCCAAGGTGTGAGAGACTTGGTAAAGGTTAATTGCGCTCTTTTTATCGTTGCATCACATATGGTACTACTATTACCTAATTTTAAAAGAAGTGAGAATTTACTTCTGGTTTTATATATATATATATATATATATATATCAAAAGTTGGCAATTTGAAATTACCAGGGTTCCTTCCAGCGTCCAAACCGCCAAGGTGTGAGAGACTTGGTAAAGGTTAATTGCGCTCTTTTTATCGTTGCATCACATATGGTACTACTATTAC